CAGTATAGACATCAGGAGTCTGACCACTCAAACCTTGAATAACATAAATTTCTCCTGTATTTGGATTAACGTTGAAATATTGTTCTGCTTGGTTGGTACCACTAATTATATCATATTCTAGTGTGTTCCAGGGACTCTATAAATATAGAATTCAATATATTATACAACAATTATACAACAATTACAATTCAAATATAGAATTGAAATTATAACATTAGAATTTAATATACTAATTTCAGTTATAACATTAGAAATTATCATACAAAATACAATCATAGCATTACAATACATATGCCATGTGATGCCAGCAGTCTACTTCAATTGACTGTACATATATGTGCCGAGTAGCAGAAGTTTTTTTTCTTTAAAAAGTGGTCTGATTGTAGAAAAATGAGATTTAAATGAAAAATATAAAGACAAATGAAAGGAACATTTTATAAAGTAGATGTTTACCTGAGTATCATTATCTCTAGCTAACAGCGTTAAAACAGTCACACCTAATGTCTGTGTCTCTGGAATAGTTACATTATAGTCAACTTGGGTAAATTCAGGATTAAATAGATTACGATTCACACTGACTTCAACTGTGGTTAAATCTGATAATCTTGGATTACCACCATCCAAAACTCGTACAGGTACCTACAATTAAAAGAAATAAAACCAGGTTAGTACCAACTATACATTCATATCCAAAGCCAATACCTTTTACAAATTTAACACACTAATACAATGAATAATATATTTACTATTATTATCATTGACAGAGTAATGGAAAGTGAAAGAATGGATCTAGAGTCTTTAACTTTGTGGGATGTGAAGAAGTGAATGGACTCAAAATAACACAAGAATTAATCTCCCTTGGGCTGCAATTACAAGTTAATGTAACAATCACAGAATTCCTCACATGAATTTTAGAACATGTATAACAAATTTTGTCACCCACAAAATTGCACAGAAAAAAAAATCAACTTTGTTAAAATTACATTCAAAGCAAGTTTCATGAAGTTAAAGAGAAATATCTAGAAACGAAACAGTTGTAGACCTACCAAATAAAGAGTTTGGTCATCTGTTAAAATAGATGATGATAATTCTAATCTGGCATTTTGGTTATTAGTTCTAGTTATGGTAAAGAATGGATTACTTCCAACAATTTCGTAACTCAGTTGGTTAAACGGTGACTGAAATAGAACAAATGGTAAATTCCAAATGACAAACAAAATAATATTTGTCTTTTACATCAACATTAAAAAGGTGCAAGTGGACAGAGTTAGTTTTGAAATCTACAAGTAATATCAAAGCTTTTGATTCCAGCTTCCCTACATTATTATTGTGGTTAGCATGACAGACTCACCCTTCTGGTCACAAAACAAATTACTCTGTAATATACAACTAACTATATACAAGAAATAATACTTCTTTGGATACTTACTCTGTTATCTGGATCCTGAGCTGTTAAAATCTGAACCAAACTTCCAACAGCAATATCTTTTCGAATACTTGGTCGATAAGAATCAGGAACAAAGGATGGTGCTCGGTTTTTAATGATAGTCACTAACACATTAGCAGTGGTATTTAATGGTGGTTCTCCCAAATCTTCGGCTTTAACAGTGGCCTAAAAATACATCATTAAATTAGTATCATTTTATTATTTTAAATAAAAAATTTCAGGATAGAAACCTGGGCTTTCAAGACACAAATAGCCCCTTCACACCCATTAAGAGGCCAGAAATGGATCTGTAACAGCTCACTCTAACATTTACAAGCACAAATGGGTCCAAGTGGCCTTGCTTGGCAAATTTAGGATCACCAGGTGGTCACAGTCGTTGCAAATCTGGCTGTTATTCTTACAGTAAAGCGTAACAGGCCCAATCAAAGTACACGGTTTAACAGGTGGTAATTGAAACCTTACATTTATGATAAACTATGTTCAGAAACTATGTTCAACCTTGACTATGACTACATTTAGTATAAACTTAACAAAAGTACTTACAGTATATGAGATTCTATTACATGGTGCAACATTTAATGCAGCTTTAGCGAATATCTCACCACTTAACTCATTTATAGCAAAACAATCTAAAAATCCACTATTTGATGCTGATTCAGCTAAACTATATCTTATATCGCCATTCGGTGACTAAAAATATCAGAGAAGATATCAATGTGAGTATTAATATCAGTTTGTATATCAATATGAAGATCAATATCATTATCAGTTGTCTATTAACTTTGAAATTGATATTATATATTCTATTAATATCAGTTTATACATAAACATCATAATCCATTGCCCAAAATCATCAGAAATCGATATCAGTCTGCGTTATTAATATTGATCAGTTATAATAGTATCAGAATCGATATCAAACATCCACATGGATATCAAAATCATATTCTAGAATCAAAATTAGCAACACAATGAATTCAAATTGTAAAATATCAATTCAAAACAACTCCAGATATTTTGTGTTTTAATTTATATTACAGTTTTTATCACGTTTTCTTTGAAACAATATTTCATTGAAAGTTTTTACATTTTTATTGTTACTAATAATATCACGTTTAACTTACCCCAACATCATCATCTGTAGCAAAAGTTTGAATGACAGTTTGGCCAAGAGGGAATGTTTCAATAATATTTGCTTCATAGTTGGTATTGTTTAATCTTGGAGTGGCTAGATTTGTTCTTGATACAACTGTAGCTACAGTGGTGTTACATTTCTTAGGTATTCCGTTATCACAAACTTGGATGCGGATCTAAATAAAAAACTAAGAGTTATTTTAAGCTATTCAAACATAACTGTACATGTACCTTAACTGGCTGTCCTGATGAGGATAATATATCCAAAACACGTGTTAGAAGCATAATATTATGAGCTCTTATTAGCAATACAAAAACAGCAGAATTTTCACTGTTCAAATTTTAATTTGACATTTTTTGTCTACAACAAACTTTCCTACCAGTAGCTCCAATTACAAACAAAGTAGCAAAACTTCAATCATATTTTCCAGTGGAAGAAAGAAATAAATGAGACAAAACTATAACTTACCCTAAAGCCAGTACTAGGTGTTGCTCCTGGATTATTAGTAACTGTTATTCGGCCAGATTTGGGATCAAGAAGAGTAAATTTTCTTGGTGCATCATCATCACCAATAATAGAATATGTTAAATCACTGAATCTTGTGTTCTGTAAGGAAAATTTGTGATCATTTTTTTTTATTTCACAAAATATTTTGTGATCTAAATTCTCAAACATCTCTTATTGATATATATAGATATATTTGGAAAGTTTCACAATGTTGGTACACTGTGTACTATAGTACAATATATGTTGAGAGAGATTGGTTATTGTCCTTGTATTCATTGGGTATTTAAGTCACCTTCGTACAAGTTATCAGTTATATTAGAAAGCATTTTCATTATTGGCTTATAACTGACTGGAGTGGTGGTTGAATTCATGATTTCATTGACAAAAATATAATAATATTCTTACTGGAGTGTCATCATCTCTGCCTTGTGCAGTCAACACTTCATCTGAAGGACTCAACTGTCTATCCAGTACTCTATCATATGGTAAGCCAACAAAATATGGTGTTAAATTATTTCTATCGACATTAATGACTACAAAAGCTGGTCTAGTAGTACATTTTGCAGGATCTGCTTTATCACATACTAATACACTACCCTATAAAATAATCACCATTAAATTTTATTATTAGTATGCATGACAGTCAAAAGGCTTTAAATAATATAATTAGGTGGATCTTTCTGTGTGATATGGAATGTCAATTAAATATCTTTCAGAAAGACCACAAATGAATTATTTGGCACATGAGATATGTCATACTCACAGTAAAGGTATTTATATTTGAACCCAGTAAAGATTTTTTGGCAAAGATATTTCCTGAATTTAGATCCACTGTAAAGAATTCAGCCATAGGTCCATTGGGGGATGACCATCTAAAACTAAGACTTGAATAGATTGACTGGAAAATATAATGAAGAAAATAATATTAATAATCACTAGAAAAAAGAAAAAACAATACATTTTTACAAAAAATGTTGGAAAACACAGTTCTCAAGCCTTGGGTGTAGCTAGAGATCCCCTAATGCTATCGACATGTGTTTCTGGAACACTATCTTTATCAGGATAGCTTGTTTTAGTTTCTAGGTGCATAAGCAAAATTATCAGTAATTAAATAGGAGCTATTAACAATCCACACAAATACATGTACATAACTCATAAGAAATTTAACAGCTATTAAAGAGAAAAGAAACTGGTATATAAAGGAATATAATACTTGAGTACAAAAAGTGATTTTTACATTTGCTGGCAAATCATTGTCAAAGGCATCAACAGTAATCAATGTTTGACCAAGTGTTTGTGTTTCCAAGATATTTGCTGTATAGTTTCCAGTTCCTGTCAGTTGAGGTGCATTCAAATTTCTGTTGACTCTCACTGTTAATCTTTGACTACTGGACAATGGTGGTGTTCCTCTATCAGTGGCTTGTACAAGAAGCTGTAATAAAACATGAAGAGAACTCAATAAATTATATATGAGACTGTTATCAGACTAAAATTAAAAAAAAATATATACTATTTCCTACTGGTCTGAAATATAATACCAACCATAACCTCAATCCTAGTGAAGTCTACTAGATGTATTACATTTGATTCTACTACAATCAACATTGAATGCATATTTAATCAGGAGTATGAGCCCAATTCACGAAACAAGAAAAGTGTCTAAATCCCTTCTCCATGTGATCAACAGTATTGGGTCAATTTCAGTTTTTCTCTTATGGAAGTCAAGGTGATATTTTGATATGAATTTTCTATAACAGTCTGATTATCAATGTTTTTTCTTTATTAGTTTCACTGCAACTCTCCAATGTGACAATGATATAAATATCTAAAAATTAGAGAACCCTGCTTAAAATAACAGTGCACAAAGTTGACTTTTGCCCAAACTCTTAAAAGCCATCAAAAACAACTTACAGTATATTCCTCCCCATCATCAGCAGACAGACTTGAACGTACTCGAACTATTCCAGTATTGATGTCAATCTCAAAATAATTAGGTGCTATACCATCTCCAACAATGTAATATTCAAACTGATTGAAAGGACCCTGGAGAAATAAACAGATTGAAGAATAAAAAACAAAAGGAAACTCACATAGTAAGGAATTAAATAGAATTCCAGGTAAGGTCCTACACCTTTTTTTGTTTTATTTGGCAACAGATATCAAATTGATATCAATTATTGTAGCCATTTGAAGAATAGCAGCCATTTTAGTCTACTGGTCACAGCTTGAGTTACCTGCTCATGTTCCTCACGAATCTGCTACAATTTTTAAAAAAACTAAAGTAGAAAATAGTACATACATGTGTATCAATATCACTTGCTCTGACTTGGAAAACATTATAACCAACATTTTCATTGTAATTCATCGTTGTTTCGTTTGGTAAGTTTGAAAATAATGGTCTATTTAAATTACGTCTGACTACGATAGAAACAGTGGCTGGTTGGGATGTTCTTGGTATATCAGCTGTATCCTCAGCAGTTATATTAAACTAAAAATAGAATTGAAAAAAGCATTTGTAGCTTTCATATATTCCAATGTTGAAAGTTGATTTGGTTGAATAATCAATTCTAAGTTTTTCAAACTACAATAATCATTCCTGAAAACATTTTGACAATAATGAGGTTAATGCAAAATGAATGGAGTTTTACATCCTACTTGACAGTGATGATGATGATGATGATGATGATGATATACTTACTGTATATGTTGGTGTATCATTAATGTCGAAGTACAGTGGTTTTCGTGCAAATATATTACAGCTTTGAGAGTCAATTCTAAAATATTCGCTTGACAAACGTCCAACACTGCTATCAATCATTCTATATACCAATGTATTCTGTGGTCCCTAAAAAGATTACAACACACTTTTTCAATTTCCTGAAAAAATATTATTTTTGCATTTTCACTTCCTCCTTTTCATGCATTGAAATATGATCTGTGCAAGTTGCGAAGTCTTGGGTCAGCTGAAATTTCTAGACCATCATCCTATAAAATGTATAACAGAAAAAAAAAAACTAGAAACTTACATTACTATCTATATCTGTAGCTTGACAATTGATACCAGCTATAGGAATATCTAGATCTTGAGTTTCTAAAATATCAGCATCATACCTTGCAGCATTCAATTGTGGATCATTCAAGTTACGAAGTATGCCTATTCGAACTGAAGTCTGAGATGTTTTTGGTGGTACACCATTATCACGTGCTACAACTCGAGCCTAAAAATATAACAAAACATAATTCCTTATTAAATTTATTTTCCATTATTTTGTATGTGTTTAAACTAAATTTTCTCAGATTTGTCTAGGCAATTAGTCAGGAAATTCTTCATGTTAATATATGTATTACTCCTACAAGAGTTCAAAAATGAATAATTATGAATAAATATTTTTAAATTAAAGTCACCACAAATATTATTTTGAAAACAAAATCTTTTTGGTACCAACGATGATAACAGATTTCTAAAAAATTTAACTCATGGTAGTCAGAAGGATGTAGGATATTTTCATGCAATATTACAAATATTCCACTCTGGTAAATGTTTTCTTTCTTACCGTATATACATCACTAGAAGAACCAATCAGATTTGGTGTTAAAACAGTTATTTTACCATCATTGGGATTCATTCCAAAATATGTGTCAAAATCTCCATCACCAATAAGTTGTAATGAAACTTGAGAAAAGAAACCCTGTAAAAAAAAACAAAGATTATAAATTTGGTTCTGCTAATCTTATCTACATGCTGAAACACTTTTATGCATTTATTATTTGATCATCTGTAAAACAACAGGACAGATCAAAACAATTTTTTTTTTCAATATCACTAGTTAATGAGTTTCAGCTCTATATAAAGAAAGTTAATAAATAATTATGGAAAAAAATGAACACAACTTACTGGACTATCTGCATCAGCAGTATTAATATCCATTACTTCAATTGCTTCATTTGTAGTTTCTGGTATATTTACTGAATAGGGTCCTGGGAATGTTGGAGCAGCCGTATTTCTTTCAATATTAATTACAGCTGTAGCAAGATTGACACTGTTTCTTGATGTATCAGATATATCTCTAGCACGGATGTTTAACTGAAAATTTTTACACATGTTTTATTATATGTGTATCAGAGAAACTTGAATGTTAAATATTCAGAAATTGATATTAGTTATCTTATATAAATTTTGACTGAAATCAAAATGACAGTATTCCATTAAAATAGAGTATGTATAATAAAATTAAATCAAAATTATAGTATTTGATAAAATCAAAAGTATTTTGATAAAATCAAAAGTATTTTGATAAAATCAAAAGTATTTTGATAAAATCAAAGTACTAAATTGGACATTTAAAAATAAAAATTGTAGCCACTGAAAAAAAATCATGAAATTTTACTTACTGTACATCTTGTCAATGTTATGGCAGCATTAGATAATAGTCTGTATGCAATGATATCACCAGCGTCATTTACACGGAAATAATTACTGCAACCAGATGGAGTAGTTGTTTCCACTGTATAACGAATTGGATTCTAAAATATAAATATTATTTATGTCAAGATCTATAAAGATATAATAATAGTGGAGCAATATTTATAAAACATTCAGAGGAAATTTAAAACCAAACACAAACGGTCTGCTTTGTTTTGTGATGGTAACTATCTTTCCCCTAGTCCAAAAATAAATTACAAAATAAATTTGATTCAGAGTATTTAAAGACTTAAATATTGCAATAATTTAACTCAACTTACAGGTTCTTGTGACAATAAAGGTCACTGAAATGTCAGATTGTCTACAGTCCATATTGAGCAAGAAAAAAACTTCTTCATAGAGGTTTCTCAATTTACTTGAGAGTAGGAAGAGGTGAGCAGGCTATTTGCAATTATACAATAGAGTAACAACAAACTTACTGAATCATCATCAATTGCTAACAATTTAATGATTGACAGGCCAAGTTCTTGGGTTTCACGAATATTTTCAGTATAACTGAGTTCAGTAAATCTGGGAGGATTGGGGTTTGTATCGACTGTTATTGTAACGTTTGTACTGGCTGTGTTAGCTGGTACATTAGAATCCCAGGCAATGATTCCCAACTGAAAAAAAATATATACATTGATATTGAAGCATTCACAAAATAATGTGCAATATCTTCTTATTATAAACAACATAAAACTCTGGTTTCCAACATGTTTTGAAGACAGGAACAAATTTTGTTTAAATCAAAACGATGGCCAATCTACTAGCTAATCAAAATGTTTGTTAGGCAACCATCCATTTTATCAGACATTTTGAATCAATACAACCAACTATAAAAATGAACAGCAGTGACTTAACAAATGAAATGGTGTTTTCAGGTTTTACTTTTCTGCTGTAAATTGGGCTGTTGATGATGGGCAACACTATGCATAGTGCAATCAGTTTAGGGTTCCATTTAAACAAGATCCTCTCTACAGTGAGAAACAGGGCTTAGAAATCATTAGGAATTATTTCAGTAAATAGGGGATTGAACTCTGAACCTCTAATGTACAACTGACTGAGTCATCTCCCTTGAACAGTGAAAGAAATATATTTAAAGAGTGCTGAGTTCTGAAAGTTCCAGATTCATGGAAGTTGGACCAGACTTGAGACACATTCCACATGTGCCAAAAAATAGTATGTGCAGACAGAATTGTGGAGAAGGATATAGATGGGAAAATTGAGAATGTCACAAATTCCAAATTCGATTGAGGAAAGAATCTATTCAATCAAGCATCACTATTGTTTAAGATTATTAATAATTAGATTACTTACAGTGTACGATGGTTGACTATCTGCACTCAGACTATTCGAAACAGAAATCTGACCATTCTGACTATTTATAGCAAAATAATAGGGGGCTGCTAAATAGTTTCCACTTAAACCATATACAATGTCACCCTAAACAACAAATAATAAAGTCACTATAATGAATGATAAATAGATATATATAGCTTTTAATATCTGTTCATTGTGTTTTCTCTTCATTTGTGACCAATTGTTTTAATTTCATGCATAAATATCAACTCTTGAATAATATTCTTCAGGTTTTACTACAGATGAGAATTTCCAAAATATTTTCCATTTATAAGTGTGATTTTATGACATCCTAAGATACCCTTTCAGACATGTTTCTATCATGTTCTTTGTATGTATCAAAATAAGTTTTAATGAGTATTCATACCTGTAAATCATTATCCCGAGCTAAAACTGTATTGTAGATAGTTGATCCCACAGCTACACTAGAGTTAATTCTAATGTTGTATGGTGTATTGACAAAGAGTGGCACACTATTATCACGGGTTATAATAATATTCACTACTGCATCAGCTGTTCTAGGTGTTGGTGAAAACTGATCACTGACTTTTACGTTAAACTGAAATTAATAATTATTGTGTTAAAAAAACACTTTTTTCATATAAAAATAATCTCTGAATTTTGATATACTAACAATAGTAAGAGGAAAATTGAAAAACAACTGAAGAATGACTGAAGAAGCTTACCTGGTAATTAGCAGCAGAACCTGTTAATACTTTCTTCAAAGAAATCAGACCAGAAGTTGGACCCAAATAAAAATATTCTGGAATATTGTTGGATGTATATCTCAGAATGTCCTTAAATAATAAAATATAAAGATTCAAATATCAATCCTTCCACTAGTACTGTATTGTTTTTCTATAAAACAATAAAACATAAATTTTTTGCCATTCACTCTGGAATGAAATGTAATGAAATGAATGGAGTTTTACGTCCTACTTTTCTGCACCTTGTGCCAATCACTCTAAGACCTTGTGATAATGCTGAAACCATTCACTATTATTTGTAATTAAATATTGCCCTTTGAAACAACAGAACTTTTCAAGTGTGAAAAACTTGTATGTCAAACTGAAAAATTCAACTAAAGAGCTTAAAAACTTGTGATGTTCTTCAAAATCCACATTCCAATTGTTATTGTTTATTACTGTAAACATTTAGATCATTACACTTACATTAGAATCATCATCTGTAGCAGTAAGTTGAACAACAGAATTTCCAA